TATCGCCAAGTTCCGTAGGACATCCAATTTGGAGTCCTTAAGAAATCCATACCGGGAATTCATCGGGTTCTTCAAGCAGTTCGTATGATTTCTCAAGACATCTATAGGACACCTTTGGACATCCATGGGGTTCCTTGGGGCACCCATTGGGTTCCGGAAGAAATTCATACGAATCCTTTGGACATCCTCCGGATTCCTGAGGGAGTCAATGGGATTCCTGGGGAAATGCATAAAACTCCTTAAGACACCCACAAGATTCCAGAAGAAATCCATAGGATTATGAAAGACATCAGCCGGATTTCTTAGGACATCCATGGGATTCGCTAGGGAATATATCGGATTCCCTAGGACATCAATCGGATTCAGGCAGATGAGGAAGAGGAGGAGGAGGAGGAGCCCAAAGACCAATTCCCCCCGTGGGATCCTCCGTTTGCGCGATTACAACCAAGTGTTTTTTCTTGATTGTCACAACGGGATTTACTTTGTAAAACCTCACGGTGAAAATTTATGTGAACAGTCCAAAATCAACTTCAATTTGCAAGTGCCTATACAAATCAATGAGTAATCAATTTGCACATGTGTTTTGACAGTGGGAACTCCCAGAAAGCGAGAGAGAGAGAGAGAGAGAACTCTGGATGAGCACCATGGGGGGCCTCAAAAAAAGAAGAAGGAAAAAACGGAGGAACTCCTGGAGCCGCTGGTGGAACCTCTGGATAAGCGGAGCCTTTGGGGAGCTTCTGGAGAGCTTATGGAAAGCTTCTGGAGGGCCTCTGATACGTTATTTTTTGGGGCCACGGGGGCAACTTTTTGGGGGGCCCTCGAACGAGCCTCTGGACGAACCGCTGTGGGAGCCTTTGGAGGACCCTACGGAGGACACGGTGGTCTGCCTCATTCCGCATGCCCCCTCCCTCTCCCCATCCTCGTTTCCCCTCCCCCTCCTCCAAAACCTCCCTCTTTCCCGTTCCTTCCTCCCTCCCTCCCTCCGCCTTCTCCCTCCTCCCTTGCCCCTGATGCCCCTTCCCTCCTCCGCGGCGGCGGCGGTATTGATCATGGGGGTGGGGCGGCTGCGCTGAAAAATAGCAAAAAAAACACGCGATTATGATTAGCAGTGCGGGGCACCGTCACCGCCGAGCCGCAAAGGACTACAACGCTGCAGGGAATCGCGCACCGATCCCACTGTACATCGCGCAGGGAACACTAGAATTCCTAGGCAACCACAGCACGCGACCGGGCACCGCGCACAAACAACTTCTGCGCGTCCCCACTAGATGCCAAGGGACGCGTCCAGCAGGCGCAGCCTGGAGGCAACCTCACGGCCCCAACTCGCCGAGATAACATTGGCACAGTCTAGGCTGCGCGCAATACAGCAACAACAACTGTAACACAAGCAATGGACGACCCCAGACTACCGCCCCACCCAAGGGTGCGGTGCGATGGCGGAGAGACATTTTAAACATTATGTTTACCGTTTTTTTCTCTCCCGATGTCAGGTCCTCGAGTTGGTGGCTTCTCCTTGTTAGCTTATTATTGCTGTTGTTGCTTTTGCTTCTTGTTGGTGCTGGTAGTTTCTTGTCGTTATCACAGGATTTCTTCAACAATTCATAGGGCCTCTTCGGCAATCCATAGGATTCCGTATAACATCAATCAGATTCGTTTGGACATCCATCGGATTTCTGATGAACTACGCTTTGAGCAAGGAATTCCCAGAAACGCCTCCTGAACCAGGTGCTGTTTCAGGAGCTCTCTGAGGCTGTTTGAAGTTCTCCAGGGGCTCTCTTGGACTGTCTGGAAGCTCCCTCTGGGAGCGATTCCGAGATAATGCTGGTCTGGGGTCCCTTCCAGAATCGATGTTTTGAGGATGTCCTTCGCGAAACGATAATTTTTCAGAAATCCACCGGCGAAGTTTCACGGTGCAATCCGCACCCCTTGGCTACAGAAACCTAAAATTCCCCTGGACCAGCGGTGCACGGCAGAGGTTCTCTGGACGCAACACCAAACACGTATGCTCACAATGCTACGGACATCCGTCATCGTGTCTGCAGAACTTAGCGGAGTGCCCCAAAAGGCTCATGCAGCTCTGGGAGGTTCAAAGGTGTAGGGTTTTGAAAGTTGTCTAAGGGCCCAGGCCCCCCGTGTCACAAATATTTCTGGGGATTCCCGAGGAGTCACCAGGGCTCCCCAGGCGTGTCACGCGCGACCTCCCGTAGCACAGCCGGCCAAACATGGGTCCAAAAAGCGCCCGAGAGGGCCGAAGATGCCTTCGAGACGGCCCAAGAATACCCCAATGCGCCCAAGATGGCCTCGACACGGCACAAAAGGCTCCGAAGATGTCCCAAGAGCGTTCAAAGAGGCGTCCCAGGAGGGCCCCAAGATGCACAAATCGTTGATTAATCTTTCCGTTTTTGAATGTTTTTGGCCTTCGAGCCTTTTCAGCTTTACGGCGCTCCACGACGGCACGTGACGCCACCAAGATTGCCTCAAGACGGCCCCAAAGGCCCCCAAGAGGACCCCAAGACGGCTCCAAGACGGCCCAAGGGGCTCTCAAGACGGCCCGAGAGGGCCCAAAGACGGCTCAAGGGAGGGCCCAATGTGGGGAACCCGAGCGGACATTTCGAGCCCTTGGCCCCGAGGGCTCTCCAGGAGGCCCTAACAGGCCCCCAGGAGGCCCCAAGAGTCCCCTAAGAGGCCCCAAGAGGCCCCCAAGAGGAGGCCCCCAAGAGGAGGCCCCAAGAGGCCCCAAGACTGCTCCCAAGAGACCCCGAAAACGCCTCGAGGAGAGCCGAAGAAGCATCCCTGAAAACTCTGACCCAGAACCCAGGCACGGTGGCAGGACGGGCTGAAAGCCACTGAATATCGTTAGTCGCAATCTCATCCCGCTTAGATGGTGTGGACACGGGCTATGATCAATACGTGTGGTAGTGTGCCTATTTCGACGAGGCAAGCGGTTTCCTTTTCGCACAAGCGTAACCGAGCGCTTTCAGAATTGCGCCACGCTTTCCGAGACAATGGGGTCCACGACAAATCTGGACCAGTGCAGCGGTTGCGCGGCGAAGGAATTCTACGAGCAGATATTTGCATCGACGGCGACATGTTACCAAGGATCCAGCGACATATGAATCTCAGAAGCACTGCGGCACAGATCGGAGAATGCGGGTGCGGACATCGGTTTCTGCGGGCAGATTGCCGGTGCGAAGGTGCCTCCAGCCATCGGGGGGCCTCGCTGCGCTTGGAGGGAAGTGTAAACCACAATCATTGCCCTGATGACCAGATTTTGGGACCGGGCGGGTATCGGAAGACATCAGATGTGGTTGGGACGGGCGCGCTGCGAGATGATCGCAAATGCTGGTGAACAAATACCTGCTCGAACACTGTGCATGCACTGTGTCCGCTGCAGCCGCACATGCCAATTCCGAGTTGGACACGCCTGCCGAAAGCCAAGTACATTCTGACGCAGACCTTGGCAACAGGTGGTCGTGGTCATCATGATGCCTGGCCTTTGAGACGCGTCCCAATCCCCGCGATCGAATGCAGCGATTCTGTATCGTAATTCCCCCGCTCCTGCTTCCCAACAATGCTGTGTCGAATGCAATCGCATCGATACTAGTGGCCAAACCGCCACACCTTTGACCCAGTGGAACGACCGTTAGCCCAATGCGTAAGCACACCCCGCATATGCGAGGCTCGCAAACAACGGCGAGGACAACCTGAGGGCACTGAGATAGAGACGATCGCAAGAACACAATCATTTATCGAAGTGGATGAGCTTAAACCATGCGGCCAAAATTCCCACGCCTCCTGGACTCACACCAGAAAACATCGCAACTTTGGACCAGCTATGGGACCTGGATCCCCGCCAAGGACATCTCACACATTCCATCCCTGAAGGTGTAAACGGGGTGGGGTGGACGGGGTGGGGCATCCGAAGCCCAAGTTTCTTTGATCCGAACATACGGTAGGTTCGCGTGGCGTCGGCGCGTGCAAAGGTTTTCTGACACCGCGACGATCGTTCGACCCTGCGTCGATCGCGGCCCCGATCGTTCAAGGTTGAATTCCGTCGGGTCCAACAACGTTCCCGTGTCCCTCGGTGCTTCCGCGTCGCAGAATTCAACCTTGAACGTCTGCGCCAGGGTCTTCGGCGCGCCAACGCCGCATGAACCTGCCGAAAAGGAAGAGCTTCCATGCGGGACTGCTGGGGGGCACGCGCGAATACTACAAGCTCTGATCGGATGACGTGACGACTCCGCCACCGCACCTTGTGCACGTCGAAGCGTGGATGAATTCCAAGGGCCTAGGAATTCTGTGTTCTACTGGGGGACATCGCCCCCCCCTTACTCGCGTCTTCCCGCGTGCATCTCCCTCCATCCCGAGGCAACGATCCCTCATTCAAAACTATAGATGTGCGCCCCGAGCTTCTAAGCTGGCCCATGCAGGTCTCCTCCTCCTCCTCCTCCTCCTCCTCCTCCTCCTCCTCGTCCTCCTCCCTCACCTGATGCTCCCCCTCGCAAAAGTTCCCACTACGGCCTGGGGAACACTTGTTTACTCCGGTAGATTGTCCAATCTTTGACCACAACGTTCTGACACATCGGCGCTTCCAGGAGGCAGGCGGCGGCGGTGATTCGCCGTGATGTGGGCGTATTCGACGAAACGATCCTCGCGACGAGTGATGGGTCGACAGCCTCTGGGGGTCCCCGGCAGCGGAGATCGTTGAAGGTTGAGTCCCTTGGGGGCTTTGCCTTACCAGGGGGTGGGGTAGGGTGGGGCGGGTGACTGAGTCGGGGGTCGGCGGGGGCGGGGTGGAAGGGAGGGCGGGGGGTGGAGGTAAGTTCCCGACCGTTTTGCAAAACGGATGGTCGAGAGATCGCTTCAACTGGTGCCCGCGCGCGTGCAACACATCTCAAGCAACGTGTCGGGAATGCACGACGAAACCATGACATTCCATGCAATCCAATCCGCGTCGCGCCATCGACGCCCGTGAAACCTCTCCCGACCCGTACGCGAACTTAGAAACACCGCAAAAGTCGCCGGCCCAGCGGGCCAGAGGCGTGCCAAACGATGCTCCAGAATCCAGAGTATGTCTGGTTCGCGCGCGCGCGGGGCGCCCCCTGCAAACGCTAGGTCGGGCGTGTTCTCCTACAGGTGGATTTTGGACGAATAATACAAGTTATCCCAGTGCGACCCTACCTAGGAGTTGGAACCTCTAGGAAAGCAACATTAGTAGGAGCGGTAAACGCCGTCCTCCGCCTTCTCCTCATCGTCGTAGTGGATGCTGTGCTGCGCTATACTATGCTATGCTCTGCTCTGCTCTGCTATGCTGCGCAATGCTATGCTGGGCTAGGCTAGGCTAGACTATGCTATGCTATGCTGCGCTATGCTATGCTGCGCTCTGCCATGCTATGCTATGCTATGCTATGCTATGCTATGCTTTTGCTTTGCCTTCGCTTTTGCGTTCACTTTTGCCTTTGTTTTTGCTTTTGCTTGGCACCCAGGGAGCGCAACTGGGGGACCCGCGCGTTTGCTTTTACCTTTGCTGTTGCTTTTGCTTGGCTCCCAGGGGACAAGGGGAACCGCCCGGGGCGGTTTCCACTGCCCGGCCCCTTTAAGCTACAGAGTAAGAACCCTTCTAGGCAGAGCCTAGGTAGGGAATGATAGAAACATGTCAAACAACAATCAACACATAATCGAAACATCGTCCCCGTAATATGTTTGACGATTTGGGGTCATTCCTCCTGTAGAGGGACGCGCCCGACTTGATGCAAACAAGCATGCTTCTGCACTCGAAGTGGTGGACTGCCGCTGGGAAATCGGCATGCTGGCGCCCGCGCCCGCGTTCGCGCTCCGCCAGGCGCCCCGGCAGACGCCCGCGCCCGCGGCCACGGCCCAGATCGCTTTTTGGCCCGAGCGCGCGCCGTGGCTTGCGAGCGAACTTCCATGGCGAGAGCGTCGTCGGAACCGACGTGGATACGGACGCGGCGGCGAAGGTGACGATGGGGCGCGCCCTGGCCGGCGCAGAGCACTGGGGGATCCTGCCCGGCCCCTCCAGGAATGCAGCGCCACTGTCGCGAGCCGATGTTTCCGTTCGAACCTCTTTGGCGCCTGCGATGTTGGGCCCGAAATCGCCGCAGACGCGGCGACGAAAATGGCGATGCAGCTCGTCCTGGTCATCGATCTCAGAACGCTAGAGTATTCTGCCGAATCCCTCCAAAAACGCATCGTCGCGGATGAGGCCGCCCAGAAACCTAAGAGAAAGCCGCCGAAACCTGGGCTGATATCAACATGTGGTCGAAGATGTTCCCGACGAGACCAACGCGATCGCGCTCGGTGCATGAATAGACGCAACAACAAAAACTGAAACGGAAACGGAGGAAACCTCGGGAAGCCTACCAGAAACCGCTAAATGTTGAGGGCGTCCTGAGCGAAAGTGGCATATTTGGCCATGCCTCAGGATATACTCGGAGGATTTGTTGGGGGATGAGGAGGAGCAGCAGCAGGAGGAGGAGGAGGAGGGAGGAGGGAGGAGGAAGGAGGGAAGAGGGGAGGGAGGGAAAGAGGAATGGAGGGAGAAAGGAAGAGGGATGATGATGAGGATGATGATGCTGATGCTGATGATGGCGATGATGATGATGATGCTGATGATGATGATGATGATGATGATGATGATAATGATGACGATGCTGACTGATGAGGCTGATGATGCTGATGATCGTGATGATGATAATGAGGAGGAGGAGACGCAAGCGAGAGAAGGGAATAATGAGGAAGGGAAGAGGGAGTAGGGGGAGAGAGGAGGGAAGAGGGAGGAGGATGAGGATGAGGATGAGGAATCAGAATGAGGATGAGGATGAGGAGGAGGAGGAGGAGGAGGTGGAGGAGGAGGAGGAGGAGGAGGAGGAGGAGGAGGGAAAGAGGGATGAGGAGGAGGGAGGAGGAAGAAGGAGGAGAAAGAGGAGGAGGGGGGAGTAGTAGGAGGAAGAAGGGAGGGGGAGTAGTAGGAGGAGAGGGGGAGGAGGAGGAGGAGAGGAGGAGGAGGAGGAGGAGGAGGAGGAGGAGGAGGAGGGAGGAGGAGGAGGAGGAGGAGGAGGAGGAGGAGGAAGGAGGAGGAGGAGGAGGAAGGGGATGCGGGAGGAGAGAAGAGGGGGTAGGGGAGAGAGAGGAGAAAAGAGGGAGAAAGATGAGGATGAGGATGAGGACGAAGAGTATGTGGATGATGCTGATGATGATGATGCTGCTGATGCTGATGGTGATGATGATGATGCTGATGCTGATGATGAGGAAGAGGACGGATGACGGAGAACGGAGGAGAAGGAGGAGGAGGAAGAGGAAGATGATGATGAGAGGGAGAAAAGAGGAGGAGGAGGAGGAGGAGGAAGAGGAGGAGGAGGAGGAGGAGGAGGAGGAGGAGGAGGAGGAGGAGGAGAGAGGCGGGATGGAGGGAGGGCGGGAGGGAGGAAGGGAGGGAGGGAGGGATGCTGCTGGTGATGATGCTGATGATGATGATGATGA